CCGCATATCGTCTCCTAGCAAAATGTTTGAAGGCTTCAGATCCCTGTGAATGAAACTTTGATGTGCTAATTTGTGCAGATACTCCACTCCTCTTGCAACATCTAATGCGATCGTCAACCTTTTTGTCCAATCCAGGGGCTCCAGCCCTTCCTCTTCCCCTGCCCAGTCAAAAAGATGCCTACTTAATGTCCCTTGGGGCATGAACTCGTACACAAGAAGCTTCTCATTTTCATCAAGGCAGTACCCAAGTAGGGCAACCAAGTGCCTATGTCTGACCTTTGTCAAAACAGAAATTTCTGATTTAAACTCTTCTAGCCCCTTACCAGAAAAGATTCCACACTCCATTCTTTTCACGGCAATCTTTGTTCCATCGTGTAACTCTCCCTTATAGACGGTCCCAAAACCCCCTCGGCCTATTATGTGGTCTTCACTGAAATTGTTTGTGACATTTCTTAGGACTTGAATTGAGATTACCAAATTTCTAGCCTCGCCCATTTCAAACTCGGTGGTTTGATTGTTGGAAACCGTGTGCATTTCAGTCGAACCCACAACAGTGATCTTCACACTATTGTTGTTATCAGAACCAGAATGTCGAGGATGGATCACCATTGCAGTAGGAGGACTCTGCACTCTGCTAAAGCGCACCTTTTTGTTTTTGGACACACAGAAAGCCACCATCCCCATCAAACTAAGCAACAAAACACTGCCAACTACAGAAACTAATATTAGAATCCAAATCTTAAATTTCTTAGGAGACTTTAGGGAAGTTCCCCCCTCATGAGATCCAGGATTCGATGAACCAGGAGAATTTGAGGCTGGAGAATTTGCATCACTCTTGCCTGTACCAATGTTGGGGTTCCCGTTGGTATTCACAATCACATTACTCCTAAACGCTGGAACTTTCCCATAGAGCTGGTTGTTAGATACATCCAAGTCAGTAAGAGTGGCAATACTCGTGAGCTCCTCTGGGATTATGCCACTAAGATTATTCTTGGCAAGGATTAGCCTTTGTAGTGTCTTAAGCGAAGCGAATGCAGGAGAAATTGTACCAGTAAGCCCCATATTCTGAAAGTTAACAATAGTGATATTCCCATTTTTGCACGTAATCCCAGACCAATCCGCGCAGGGGTCATTCCCCTTCCAATTCTCAGCAAATTTTTTAGGATAGCCCAAAGATTTTGCAATCAAAAGCAATGTGTTTACTCTAGAGTCGCAATCACCGGGCTGTGGCAAACAAAAGCTATTAGTATCTTTCACCAAATCAACAGAAACTGAGTCTTTGAACTTTGGAGTTGGGCCCTGAAGTAAATTGTTAGTCACATTAACAACTTTTAAGGAATCAAGGTTCACCAACGACAATGGAACTGGACCTGTAAAAGAGTTGTCTCTAAGGTTCAACACTTGCAGAGCCTTCAAGCCAGAAAAATCAGGCAAAGGGCCTGAAAACGAATTGGAATGCAACCAAACCTCTTTCAACATTGTCATGTTCTGCAAAACATCAATTCCACCCCCAAGTTTCTGCCCGTTTAAATGCAATGACTCAATGGACATTCCCGAAAAGCCTGAAGGCAATTCCCCTTCCAAGTTATTACGAGCCAAATGCAAGTTCACCAGCCCCGGAAACCCGTCCCTGTCGAAAAACCCTGGAATTCTCCCCCATAAAGTCACCGAATTCGCTGAGAAATTTTGCAGGGACGAAGCGTTCCTAAGGCTATCAGGGATTTGCCAAGGATTTAAAGGGTTGTTATCAATCTCTACAGACTGCAGAGACGATAAGCCCTCAAAGAAATCAATAGGAATTGAAGTGAAGCGATTATTACTAAGCATTAACACTCGCAATGAACTCAACCCATTCAAGCTGGGCAAAGGTCCAGAAATATTGTTCCATTGGACCTCCAAGCGGTCAAGCTGGGTGAGCCTGGAGAGTTCAGGAGGGAGAGTACCTTGAAGATTCTGGTGCCCGATTTGGATGCGGGTCACCCGCTTGTCGCCGGAGCAAACCACGTGGCTCCACTTGCACGGATCCGGGCCGGACCAGCCCATTTCCGGCGGTGGGTTTAGGCTCTTCTTGAGAGCCAGCATGGCAGAAGCGTCATCGTCGCCGCCGGCCTGAGACACTGAATGCAGAAACAGTAAAGCGAAAATCGCAAGAAACAGTAAAAATGGAAGCTTGCGAAAACCCATTTGGATTGGGTCTGAGAAGAAAAAACGAGAATTGGGTGTGTAGGGTTTACAAGAGAAAATGGAATTTCAAGAATTTAAGGGGATTTTGATATCTTCTTCAAACTTCAAAGAACTGGAAAGGCAAGACGCGGTTTGTATTCGGGGGTAGAGGGGAAAACCAGAGAAGGGTGGTGGAGGGAGCACATGGGAGGAGAACTGAAGGAGGGGGCCTACAGAAATGTAAAGCTAAAACAATGCAGAAATGGAAATGACAGCAACAGCAAAGCTGGATGGATGATGATGATTCATGCCAACTGCAATTCATATGAGTTGGACTCCACCCCAGTCGCTCCAATCTGGTTCATATTTCGGGCATCAATTTTGTTTTAGACCATCTTCAATGCGACATTGGGACGTGCAAAGCACATACTAGGCAGAGAGAATATGAAATATTGACAGATTTTTAATTTTAATATGTCCAGGGAAGAGAAAGATGGTGAGATGCTAAGTACACCGCTGGTGAGCTCGCCTGGTCTCAAATGTGTAATTTGGAACAAGAGTGCTTCACGGAAGTGTGGGAGCACCCTCCCAAAAAAAGAGGGATGCTCACTGTGCCTGTGCGCAGACGCACAGTGAGCACTCGCCCAACACTCTGTTGCCGATTGAGTCAATATAATTTATATCTTCTCACAATCCTGTCGTGTAGGGAGTGAGAGCCGTCCGGAGTGAGCGATTTCGCCTTTTCTAGAAAAGAGGTTAGAAGCTTAGATCATATAAAACAAATGCAAGTACGAGTGCGCGAATACGTCAAAAATCAAAAAATGATGAGTGTGTATTCGAGTTAAAGTGTCACTAAAAAAATTTTAAACACACATACATCTCAACATTTTTATCATTTTATTCCAAATGTGTTTTACTTTGTTTTAAGAAAAAAAGTATAATTCATGGAGTTAATTAATACGACCCTATCTTTAAGAAACACAAAAATAAAGTAGCCTAAAGAGCCAATGATTTTGGTGTAAAAATATAACAAGTCGCCTAAAGAGCCAAATATTTCATTATGTAATTTATTTTAACATAAAATGCATTAAAAATATAATAAAGAACTAAAGTATGACCAAATAAAATGTGACAATTTGTAACGTATCAATTTCCAACTGTTCAATAAATATTTTAAAAATGAATTATTTATATTTTGATCATTATGTTGTTGAAATAATTTGCTTAGGCTTTCGCAATTTATTATGAACTTTGATGATGTTGACATAATATTTTATGATGAAATAAAGTTTGAAGTGTTTTAAATTTTTACGCTACCAAGTTAATACTTTAGTCTGAAAGGGACTACAGACTTGGACGAATTAAGGTGTTACTAACCTTGTTACCTGGATTACCAAATTTACTTCGTTCATAACTAATACATTTATGTACATAATCCATATGCAAAGTTCATAACCAATCTTTCTTAATTCTAAGCTCATAACATATCCTAGAACTAGGCCAATTCTTATTCTTTGTAGAGCCCCGATTCAACCACATTCATGGAAGAACCTGCTTGATACGACGTCATCCAACGTCGCCTGGGTGAGACCACCTGCTCACATCCATGAATAGATCTTAGAACCCGTGCGCAAGCTTTACCCAACTAATCATTCAAACACGCCGACTCATCACATGACCAGTAACTCCTAACAGTATTATATCCATATTCATAGTTTCATATTCTCGAACCCATACATGATCATAGTACAGCTCATAAGCATACATATTTAACAATTAGTTGCCTAGTGTCGGGTGTAAATACCATTCACATATCGTCATGCAGCACATAAGGTCTTGGAATCGATACGTGACTTGGTCGGAACAATAAACAAGCAAATAGAGACATTTGGCATCTGGTACGGTACCGTGGTACCAGCCGGAGCATTGTTTGGCTACGGTGAAAGGATTGTGATGGTAGTCACCTATCATGGGACTGTAGAGACCTACTGTCTCCATTGGAATTTGTAGACACAACATAGAGCCCGATTCCAGGTACTGTCTCAATTAACAAGTGTCATCTCGGTAATTAGTTAATTTTGTGAACTAGTTTAGAAAAAAACACATAGTTATTTAGTACCATTTTGAAAATTTACTCAACAACTAATAGATTTCACATTGATAAAAAATGGATTTCTCAAAATCAATGAGTTCTAAACAATCTATCTAAAGCTTTTATAATCAGAATTGAATACACCTCTTATAAAAGATTATACTCCCTCCGTTCTATCATGATTTACAACCTTCACTATTCAAAAATCACATGAATTTTTATTTATTTGTGTACTTTTATTGATTATTTGATGAAATAAAATATTTCTATCACCTCTTGTTTTGTACTCCCTCCATACTAATTTAAATCGCATGTTCTGCCTAACAATGTTTGATTGAAGTTATTTTCAGCATAATTTATTTAAAAATAAGAAAAAAATAAAATTTACATATTTAAAAACTACATAAAAACTCAACAAAACAAGAGATGACATTACTATATTATTTTATCAAATGAGTAAATAAAATAAGGAAAGAAAGCGAATAAAATTTAACTCCTTTAATGATTTTTAGGCAAATTAATTTGGGACGGAGGAATTAAAATTTTTGATATACTTTTTAAATAAATAAGTTTTATTTTTTTTATGAATTAAGCTAGGGGTACACCAACATGAGATACCCCAAGTGTACACCAAAGCCAACACAGACACACACAGACACAAAGTGTCTGTGTTGCACAGACATTTTGTGTCTGTGTGTGTCTGTGTTGGCTTGGTGTACATTTGGGGTACCCCATGTTGGTGTACCCCTAGCATTGCCCTTTTTTTATATGTATACCACTCTTTCAGGGTTCTATGAAGCAAAACATTTTGCACCAACATTGGACAAGTGATGATCAATCAAGTTTTTCACTGATGGATTGAATTTACAACTAGAAAAGAAACTGCACCATTGTGACTTTTAAGGACCCCTTTTTCACAGAGAAGCCAACAATATAAAAATCTGACACCTACACAATCAGGAACAAAACAGTAACCCATCCGAACTCAACAACTTAGCTACATCGAATCCGAATACTTATTTCTTAGGAAAAACATAACTGGAGAGTGCTTCACCTGCCATCCGTGGACGTGAGCGATTCAGCGAATCCAAACGGGCGGACGGGTATGCTCGTTTGGGTGTTATCGAAACTCGGAGCATAAGATGTGGAGGAGTAATCCATGTGGCTTGTGCTGCCTTCATATGCCTGCCATTTCTTAAGAACTTGAGGCAAGGACATGTCAAAGTCAATGCCATAAACATCCTCTGAGCTCTCCTCTGAAGGCTTCCAGAACTCTACCAAGGAAGATAGGACGTTAACCGCATGTCCCATTTCAGGCCTTTGGTGTGGCTCTCTTGCACAGCAGTGGCTGGCAAGTTCAGCAACAGTGCTTATGCTCGCTAGTATTTCTTCGTTGAAATCAATCGTAGGGTCTATTGTCTTACGGAAGGACTCCCTGTTTAGATGCATTCTCCTGAACCAGGTCACTAAGTGCATGCTCTCCTCTGGTTGGGTCTCGTCCAGAGCCTTCCGGCCTGTGATAAGCTCCATCAAGATCACTCCAAAGCTGTATACATCTACCTTAGTTGTTACTCTTCCCGTTACTGCCAGACAAAGGACAAGAAAATTATTTACATCTCAAAAATGAGTAAATCCCAATGAAATATCATCAATCCTTTCAAGTTAGTTGAATACATTTTATATGTAATGTTTTTACTTATATACGATTACGTAAACTAAAGCATTTAATTGAGGGGCCAACAACTCTATCATATGTGCGAAATCCCGTGTCCGACCATGTCAAGAGACCAACAAAACTACATCATTTTGGTCCAAAACAACATAGGTTTGTACTTCAGTGAGTTGGACAAGGCATTTTGGACAGGGATTCGATCTTATCATTTACTACATATAGTATTTACCAAAAACATGTATTGGACCATTTGGACATACTCCATATATTTAAATATACTCCATAAAATCTTTAAGAATATCTTTTCAAACAGATCATTGACAGTAGAGACTTCATTAGCTCTTTTCAAGCGAATTTAAATATAGCTAAAATTTAATGCATTTATAGCTCTTATATAATGCATTACATTCATAGCTCTTATTTAATGCATTACATTTACAGAGCTTTGAAGGGTACGATAAAATTTACTCTCTCCATCCAAAATGATGTTTACGGTTTGACTATACAAAACATAATAAAAATGTTAAAAGTAAAAATTGTGTGCTTGAAATTTGATTAAAAGAGAGAAATGTAGTTAGCCACATATTCCTTTTCTTAATGAGAAAATTTCTCAAAATAATGAGAATGTAAGGAAGTGTAAAATTTATTTCGGGACATCCCAAAAGAGCGTGTAAACTTCATTTTGGGATGGAGGGAGTAGATGTCAATAGGAAAAGTTCAATAGAAAGAATTTTAACAATAAAGGAAAGAATAGCAAATTGGAAGTTTAGTTTGAGACTCATTTTAATGAAATGCAAGTTTTTCATGGAAAAGAGGGAGAAAAAGCTTATATACTTAAATGTATATGTTTTCTTAAAGGTTTAAGAACTCCCCTAGCGTCAACAATGAAAAATTTATTTAAGGTCCCACACCTGCATACTCTGGTGCCAGGTATCCAAAAGTTCCAGCGATCTTGGTGTGGACAGAGCCTTTCCCTTCAGGGGCAAGTCTAACAAGACCAAAATCTGATACCTTAGCCCGCATATCATCTCCTAGCAAAATATTTGAAGGCTTAAGATCCCTGTGAATGAAACTTTGGTGTGCTAATGTGTGCAAATACTCCACCCCTCTTGCAACATCTAATGCTATCGTCAGCCTTTTTGTCCACTCCAGCGGCTTCAGCCCTTTCTCTTCCCCTGCCCACTCAAAAAGATGCCTACTTAAAGTCCCTTGAGGCATGAACTCGTACACAAGAAGCTTCTCATTCTCCTCGAGGCAGTACCCGAGTAGGGCAACCAGATGCCTATGCCTCACCTTTGTCAAAACAGAAATTTCTGATTTAAACTCTGCTAGCCCCTTACCAGCAATGATTCCACCCTCCATTCTTTTCACTGCAATCTTTGTTCCATCGTGTAACTCTCCCTTATAGACAGTCCCAAAACCCCCACGGCCTATTATGCTGTCTTCACTGAAATTGTTTGTGACATTCCTTAGGACTTGAATTGAGATCACCAAATTTCTAGCCTCACCCATTTCAAACTCGGTGGTTTGATTGTTGGAAACCGTATGGATTTCACTTTGCGAACCAACACTAGCACTCGAACCCGCAACTGTGATCTTCACACTGTTGTTGTTATCAGAACCAGAATGTCGAGGATGGATCACCATTGCACTAGGAGGACTCTGCACTTTGCTAGAGCGCGTTTGTTTGTTTTTGCACACAAAGAAAGCCACTATCCCCATTAAACAAAGCAATAAAACACTGCCAAGTACAGAACATAAAATTAAAATCCAACTCTTAGATTTCTTGGGAGACTGTAGGGAAGTCCCCCTGTCATCAGAACCAGGATTAGGTGAACCAGGAGGATTTGAGGCTGGAGAATTTGCATCACTCTTGTCTGTACCAATGTTGGGGTTCCCGTTGGTATTCACAATCACATTATTCTTAAACGCTGGAACTTTCCCATAGAGCTGGTTGTTGGATACATCCAAGTCAGTAAGGGTGTCAATACTAGTGAGCTCCTCTGGAATTATGCCACTAAGATTATTCTTGGATAGGATTAGCCGTTGTAGTGTCTTAAACGAAGCGAACGCAGGAGAAATCGTACCAGTAAGCCCCATATTCTGAAAGTTAACAATAGTGATATTCCCATTTTTACACGTAATCCCAGACCAATCTGCACAGGGGTCATTCCCCTTCCAATTCTCGGCAAATTTTCTAGGATAGCCCAAGGATTTTGCAATCAAAAGCAATGTGTTTACTCTAGAGTCGCAATCACCAGGCTGTGGCAAACAAAAGCTATTAGTATCTTTCACCAAATCAACAGAAACTGAGTCTTTGAACTTTGGAGTTGGCCCCTGAAGTAAATTGTTAGTCACGTTAACAACCCTCAAGGAATCGAGGTTCACCAACGACAATGGAACCGGACCTGTTAGGGAGTTGTCTCTAAGGCTCAATACTTGCAAAGCCTTCAAGCCAGAAAAATCTGGCAAAGGACCTGAAAACTCGTTGGAATGCAACCAAACCTCTTTCAACATTGACATGTTCTGCAAAACATCAATTCCACCACCAAGTTTCTGCCCATTTAACCACAACGACTCAATGGACATTCCGGAAAAGCCTGAAGGCAATTCCCCTTCCAAGTTATTAAGAGCCAAATGCAAGTTCGCCAGACCGGGAAACCCATCCGGGTTGAAAAACCCTGGAATTCTACCCATCAAATTCACCGAATTCGCTGAGAAATTTTGCAGGGTCGAAGCGTTTCTAAGGCTATCAGGGATTTGCCAAGTAGCTAAAGGGTTGTTATCAATCTCTACAGACTGCAGAGACGACAAGCCCGCAAAGAAATCATCCGGAATTGAAGTGAAGTGATTGTTACTAAGCATTAACACTTGCAATGAACTCAACCCATTCAAGCTGGGCAAAGGCCCAGAAATATTGTTCCCCTGGACCTCCAAGCGGTCAAGCTGGGTGAGCCTGGAGAGTTCAGGAGGAAGAGTACCTTGAAGATTCTGGTGCCCGATTTGGATGCGGGTCACCCGCTTGTCGCCGGAGCAAACCACGTGGCTCCACTTGCACGGATCCGGGTCGGACCAGCCCATTTCCAGCGGTGGGTTTAGGCTCTTCTTGAGAGCCAGCATGGCAGAAGCGTCATCGTCGCCGCCAGCTTGAGACACTGCATGCAGAAACAGTAAAGCGAAAATCACAAGAAACAGTAAAAATGGAAGCTCGCGAAAACCCATTTGGAGAGAAACAGCGGATTGGGTCTGAGAAGAAAAAGGGTGTCTTTTTTTCAGAGAAACGAGAATTGGGTGTAGGGTTTACAAGAGAAAACGGAATTTCAAGAATTTAAGGCTGTTTTTGGCCTTTTGGGGACTTTTTTCCTTCTTCAAAGAACTGAAAGGGCAAGACGCGGTTCGTATTTGGGGGTAAAGAGAGGAAAACCAGAGAAGGGTGGTGGAGTGAGTGGGCACATGTGAGGAGAAGGAGAATTGAAGGGGGGCCCTACAGAAATGGAAAGCTTAAAAAAATGCAGAAATGGAAATTGACAGCAACAGCAAAGCTGGATGGATGATGATGATTCATGCCAACTTGCGATTCATATGAGTGAGAAGACTCCACCACACGAGTCGCTCCAATCTGGTTCAAATTTCGGGCCGTAGGAACAAGAAGAGTTCCCCATTTCCAGTCTAATTTCCATTCATTTTTGTTTTGGGTCCGGTGTGGTTTAATAAATAGGCTCCACTTATAAGGTATATACCTATTTTCTCATGTAGCATGACAAACTTATAAATCTACAATCAGAATCCTAAGAACCGTGAGCGTCAGTGCTCGATCGCGAGGGACGAGGAGCCGATCGACTACCAAAACCCTAGGTGATGGATTATCGTATCGTAGCGCTGCGCCGAAGAGCAAAAAAACCTTAAGTGTGGCAGTGACTCTGGTGAAGAAAAAAATAGAACACAACGACCGGAAATAAAAACGAAGGCACGGCGATGGCAAGGGTCTACTTCAAGATGGAGATGTTGGTGGTCTACTTCATGACGGAGTTGGTGGTGATAGTGATACAGTGAGTATTTTGTAAATTAACATTATGTTACGGGCTAATGAACATTATGTTTGTTTCATGAAAAAAATATTTTATTTTGTGCAAATGAATATTTTAAAAAAATTATTCAAAATGAACATTATGTTGCTTAAAAATAGTCTATTGTGCCTAGGGATGAAAAAACTATTTTATTTTGTGCAAATGAATATTTAAAAAAAATCAAAATGAACATTATGTTGCTTAAAAATAGTGCCTAGAGATGAATACAATCAGTTGTATCATATACACTCTGCAAATGTCAAAAATATCGTCATGCAAACATAGAACTTGTGTACAACAATAACCAAGTAAAGAGAACTTCTAATTAATAAAGCATGAGAACTAGAATCTTCAAGAAAGAATCATAGTGTTTAGGGCATACAAATGCTTATTACGGAGTAGAAAGCTTGAATTTTTTTCTAATTTCTAACAAAGTCCATGCAAGAATTTTCTTTTTAACAAACATGAAAGCAACTCCATATCATTTACTTTGTAGTGCTTTGTATTGTGAATTTCTGAAATATAGCTTTAACATTTTAAAAAGGCAATCTAGCATAGGTAAATTATGTAGTACAAACAGATATACTTTCCTCTTGGTACATCATGGCAAACTTGTTATTTAAAAAAATTATAAAATGAGCACTACGTTATTTTAGAATGAACACAATGCTAGGAGCATTATGTTATAACATTTTCAAAGTTAATCAGCATCATTAAAAATATTCAAAACTCTAACACTAATTAAAAACACTGGTCCAAACAAAGCCATTATCCTTAGATATTCCGTGTATCATCCTCATCGCAATCAGTAAGCTCCTGGATAAACTGATGAAATTGACAAACGAATTTCAAAATAATGGCAATAGATACGGCAATTTTGATGGATTATTAACAAATTCTGATGCAAGAGATTTGAATCACATAGAAAAAGATGCTAAGCCAATGCAAATATTGTATACAAACAGGTGAGCAACAAAGTTAGACTCGAAAACACAAGTATATTGTTTTACATTCGAGCTCAAACACAAGGATGCAGTGACCATGGATGATTTCACCAAGGACCTGGCTTGTTGGCCGGCTATTGGAATACCTTCAGAGATGTGGACCAGCACAAGTTTCATATATGCTACGCGACTTGTGACTAGCAGCAATCAGAAAACACTTGATTCTTCATTTCTCGGGCTACAAAAGATCGCCAATTACTGGAATCAAGGAATTATGCTTTGAAGGAGGGATGCCACCCTGAGCACTTTCTTCTTGAGAGGAGGGATGACACCACGGCCTTCTGACAGAGACGGCGTGGGTGGTGCGAGATGCGTGTAGTTATTGGGTGGCGACGACAATGAGATTTTGTAGGGAGGGGTGGGGAGTGACGATGGAATGGAAGGAGGTGAATAGAAGGGAAATGACTCAAAGTGATATAATTGAGAGTGATAGAACAAGTACACAAGGACAACACACTTTTTTTTTGCAAGAGTTTGATTTCAGGATCTGTTAGAATGAGGGGGTGTTTAAAGTAAAGATGGAATTTCACATTCAAACAACGTACATTAAACATAGTCTCTCCATTGGAACGTTTGTCATGAAGCATAAGGCAAGTGTCCTTGTTCTGACATGCCCTGAGCATCTTCTCATTTCATTAGCACATACTGTGTGTCCAAGCATCTGCGGTGAGCACCTAAAGCATCTCTTTTGTGCACTCGTATTAGCGTGTGTCTCTTCAATTGTGTGCATGAACATGGGTTATGCTCTGTGCATGAACTTGAGCTAGGTGGGTAGAGGATCATGGGCGCACGTCACAGAGTTAATGAGGACCAGTGCATGCCCTTCATGCGAGTGTAAGGTGTGCCTTCACCAGGATATTTTAAAGTATATATCAAAATAAATCTAATGATGAGTATTAAATTTATGTCATAACTCAATAAAAAATTTACCATATCTCATGGTGACCCAAAGAATTCAAAGCGTAAGAAATATATAGGATAAAGAGAGTATACTAAATTGTCCATAAACTGATACTGATAGTCTCCAAAATTTTAATGACCCCTCTCATATGCTTAATTAAATATATGCTGAGATAGATATATAATTAAAATTCAATGACTACTTACATCTGCTGCCATGGTAAGCTATATGAAATCAACACATGTGGAGGCCTCGTCGTGTCGAAGTCCATGCATATCTTGCCAAGGAAAGAAAATGGTTGAACCTTTCTGCTGAAGCCTGTTGGATGTTGCCCATCCAAGACATGAGATCCAACATTGCTGAAAAGTGAAAAGCGGTTAACAATTTGTTTTAGTATTTCACTACGTGTGGACACACACACACACACACACACACATATATGCATACACACACAGAGCAAGGATCATTTGACACTCACCTTGGGTGTCATATTTTTTACACCAGGGGCCCTAAGGTTACCTGCAGGGCTTTCAAATTGCCTGGTGTCATAGTATAACACCCAAGGTGAGTGTCAAATGGTCCTTGCTCTGTTTTCTCTCTCTGTGTGTGTGTGTGTATTGAAGTGAGGTATGAACGCATCACCAAAAAGTAATCTCAGGTGAAAGTATCGAATCTTGATCTGGAACCTAAAGTAGACCGCTCCAATTGCAGATTCTAAAAGGAAAAGAAGCTAGCTTCAATCAGAAATAAGTAAATGATAATTGATATTTGATAATAAAGGAAATGAAACTCATTGAATTTTTATAATAATCCTTTCGGACTCACATATACTGTTACACTAAAAAATACCAGATCCGGAATTAGGCTTCAAAGAGAGACCATGCAGTGCATATTTAGCATATGACAGTAGTTGTTGTCGCTGGGATGCCCCTAGCTTAATTATCAAAGATCTTAAGAGCCCACTGAATATATATAAATTCAAATAAGAAAATATAATTGATAAAAAAGATAACTTCACAGAGTTCATCTCTGGAACTAGAAAAGGGAAATACAAAATAGTTTATTATAATAGACTTAATAGTATAACTAAGTTCTTACTCGGCTCGTAATACTGTAACAAATTCATTAGGTAGTGACTCGAAGAAGGAAGATATGTCTTCCATTCTGAGAGACTTCAATTCCTTGTTTAGATTCTGCTTTTCTTCAACTGACATTCCCCTTGAGAGTGCTGATTTACTGTAATAAAGGCAATACTACGAATTATATTCCACTTTCCAACTGTCAATTATTGGTCTCCTACTGAATCCACCACCATTGCATTCATTCTTACTTTGATAGTTTAATGCAAAAACAAACTCATGCAAATCACATACGGAGCGCACATCTTTCCCCAGTGTAATGGGGAGGGGAGGGGGGGAGCATTACCTCTCAATTGTTCTCCCTGTAAATATTACAGGTAAGTATCTCGAATATTTCCCAATACCAAAATAATCACCCAGCTGTTGGATTTTGTTAGAATCATTAAGTATTAAAGCCTCCCATAGTTGGCAGAAGTTCAGCCTAAAAGCTTCATCCAATTTCTTGCAAATTCCAAAATCCAAAAGAACTGCATTTATAGAAGCTATTACTAAAGAAATTCAGGAGGGCATATCTAATATGATTATCAGTCATGAAGCACAAAAAGAGAAGGGTTTAAGAACTGTCCACAAAAGCATACCTAAAGAGAAACCATTCCATCCATCTGGACAAACTAGTACATTTCCAGGATGTAGATCACCATGTAGAAAACCATGGACAAATATCATTTCTGAAACAGCATCTGCTAAGGCTTTCGAAACCTAAAACATCAAAACCACAAAGTTGGTTATGACAATGGCTGGAGCAAGCAACGGCCTGAAGAAAGTCAAGAAAAAGTTGTTACTAGCTGCGGCAATGAGAGATCTGAGATAGCTAAGACCGACCTTTGATGGACTAATCCCTGTTTGCTTCATTAAGTTCAAATCATCTACCTGAGAGCTAGATAGTTTCTTGTTAATGGCCCATTTCTGACAATAGTTGAACCCCAAAAAATAATATTGACAACAAAACCTAGGAAAGTTTCATAAGGAAAAAGGGGTCAAATGCACCCATAACGACAACTTATTGGTACCATCATTGTGAATGTATCAGAGCATTTGAATATTGTCAAAAAAATTAAAAGGGTCGTTAACCCTGATGGAAAGTGACTGCTTTCTATGATGGAGGAAAAACCTATATTAATTTGGCATACTGATTAATATCATGAACTTTGAGTCAACTTGACATAAACACACACCATGCCACCAAAAGCTGGCAGAACAAAATACCTTGAATCCTTTACAAAACTCCATCGTCAAAACATTCCTTGTTGTGAAACCCTGCATATGGTTACAAAGTTTTGCAGCTATAGTACGCAAGTAAGCAACATACATAATATTAGTGAACTCAGAAATTGTCAACCATGAAAAAGGCATGTTGCCGACGAAGAGTAATTTGCTGCCATACCCAATAAACTTGAGGAAACCTAATCATGCTGTTGCTTTTGAAGTTTTCAGACATTTGCTCGAGGTTTTTAGCCTCTTCAATGAAATCTGGAGAATTATGTAGAACTTATTCAATAATGACGAAGTTAGATTGTCAACATGAAACACATTAAAGAGAGCAACCCACATATGGAGATTATAAAAAAAATAATGACGAAGTTAGATTGTCACATACCAAGCTCAAAAGTAATAGATTTCTTAAATTCTGATACCAGCCACTCAAACCTGCATTCTGGGAAAAACTAAAGCAAAAAATGGCAAGTTATTGAGCAGATGCAGCAAGTGGGGGGACCGCAAGTCCACAGTTCTAATACAAAACCACTGAAGCTGATATTTGATAGGAAATAGAGGATAGCATATAAGAAAAATTAAAACCATAACCAGAAATAATATCCTATTCGGCAAGAGTGGAGGCCATGGCAGATGGCACTTGTAGAAATATAGTCAGGCAGGTGAGGTAGCCATGTGAAATTTGTGAAGAATGGTGCGTTGTGGTTGTCTATTGCGGTTTATGGGGCACCATGTGACAAAATTCATCCACCATTAATAGCATCGATGTATTCAAGGAGCATATTAATAAGCATAATTGCAGATAAGCGTTATGCTAAAAGCCTAGAATCAAAATAGGGAAAACTATATAATCTGAGATATTCAATACATTGTTTACAAGTAAAAAATGATGAGTTCTATTTAAATCAAAAACTTGGTTTTGCATTTGCATATTATCTCTTGTTAACAACAGATCGACTGCCTATTCAAATTGCCATGCACACTGATTTGCGTTCATAAATTTTCACATAAAGAAGCTTGGTCAGAAAGACAACCATTCAGAACTAATAGTGGCCTCAACCACCCGCCAAGAATGATTACTGATTCAAACTATTTTGTTTTTCAACCTTGGCATCAGGGTCCCTGACCCAGCTCCGATCCATCTATTTGGCTAATTGCACATGCTATAAATTGTACAGTATAGAGGTTTATCTGATACATGTTGGCCTAGGTTTCGGGATCCGGGCCCCAGCTCAGGGCCGACTACTCAGCAGGTATATAAAGAAAGGATGGAGGGAAAAAATTAGATTATTAAAAAATTAAAATTGGCATCGCCTTGAAAGTACACAAGGCTTCAGGTAAAACTACCATCCCTCACATTTATGTTTTCAGAATGGAGATGCAATAGTGACCAAGAGGTTGATACTTCAAATGTCAATGTTGAAGAAATGAAATCAAATCTGAAATACATTTGTTCATACCCATGAAGCAAATTTGGAGATAAAAGACATTGTTGCAAGATCAAATTTCATCTGGTACTCTAATCCTGGATATTGCACCTACATTTGAAATGGCATGGATCACAAAAATGCAGAAGTTCCACATAAGCATATCAAGTGTTTAAAAAAAGGTTATAGAACTTCAAGCATAAATTATACCCCAGTTCACCGACCTTGACAACCACTTCTTTATTATCTCTCAAAACAGCATGGTGTACTTGAGCAACAGAAGCTGCTGCAAATGGTTGCTCGTCAAATGATAAGAATCTGAATACAGTAAATTCCGATACTTGCATAGGTTCAGATCAAGAACATATTATAGGCAATATATAAGAATCACTGAGGATGCACTTTTAAACACTTATTAACAAAGTGATTTTATTTATCTGATTGTTTCTCTCATTTTAAGATAAAGGTAGAGCTGAAAACTTCTATAAAACTAGACATGCATGGATGGGTTCCAGATAGGTTCTCACGGTGTAAAGAGATTTGCATTCTTTGTGTTCCTGTAACTTACTAAATAAAACAAATGCAAAGAGAAAATCTTACAGTGTTTGACATCAAAAAAATGAAAAAAAAATGGACCCATTATCATAGCTGCCTATTAGCCATTAGGATTTATCAGATTTCTTAACGAATAAAGGATGGAATCACAAAAATCACATGGTTATAGGCATAGCTTAGCCAAAATGGGGATTGAGAAGAACATGATAAGTTTATACAATATCCCAACGGAGAACACTTGTGGTAACTTACATCTCCGATGAATTTGGACCCAAACTGTTGCTCAGTACTTCCTTGATTGATTCAAAAGGACAAGGAACAGCCTAAAGTAATAAAACATTATCAATTACAAGTTCACAAATTAAAAATACTATTGACCCACTACTTTGTCCATATTTTCCAAATTGGTCTTTCCAAAAAGATCTTTCATATCATATTTGATTGTTTGGCATTATTTAGGTGACTCGAATCAATCCAAACTTTGCAAATTCAATATCAACCACACAACTCCACTTCCAAATTTGAGTGCCACTCATTCCTATCGAAAATAGTGGGTCATAGGGAGAGAAAAATGCAAAGCATAAAAGAAGGATCAAATATGTACACCATAAGGTTTGATAATGATGGAGCAAAAGTTAATATAAAGAAATCAATGTTAGTACATGCATGTGGATGTGGTACAAAGTCTACAAACCTGGTCTTGCAAAGATGACAGTGTTGATGAGTATTCTTTTGGAACTTGCTTGACACGCATTGCTGCAGCAAACTGGCCAGCTTTGACATAAACACCTTTGTTGGCTTCACATAGTCTCAATATTCTCTTTGCAGACCTTAGATGTACCTTCAATCCAAGAGATTAACAACATTACCCTAGTGCCTTAAAGGCTCCCTCCCATTGCGGGGTAAGGGGGTCGGATGTAAGCAGCCGACCCTTATGTTTAAAATATAGAGTGGATGTTTCGACATGACCCATTATGAGTGTCTAAAGTTGCATTGACTAACTGCTACATCACAATTGAAAGAAGCGCGGACAGTTTAAAGAGCCATTTTGCTTTACTGCACCATACCCCATAGCCAAAAAAAATAGTGAATCTTTGGCTTCATTGGAGATGATGGAATGCAATTCAGGAGATTAAAATTTCACTGAAAGATGAATGTGCAGCCAGGGTATATAATAATGCAGAAATAAAAGCTAGAGTGAACTACGTCACTCTAAACTATTCCTTGTCTTCTCATGCACTATTCACACGATCAAACTTTATTCATTTTGTTTCCTTATCATCACTACTCATTTCATAATATATTAAAGTCATGTCACCTCTTGTATTGTATAACTTTTTATGAAATTTTTAAATATATAAATTTTATTTTTGAATTTTACACTTACAATCAAATAAATTGAATTGAAAATAACTTCAATAAACCTTGTAACCCAAAATGAGATGAAAAATTCTGGATGGAGGGAGTATTAATTTAGTTTTACACTCCTGCCATCGCTAAAACAAAGTATGACTTCCCTTAATGGAGCATCTCAAAATAAGCTTCACACTTCTCTCGTTTCTATTAAAGGAAATATGTGGCTCACACATATCTCTCTCTCTATTCTAAATGAATTCTAACCACCCACTTTGTAGTTTTTATATACTCCGTATATAATTTTTTATTTTTAAAAATTACACCAATATTTAAATAAAATTAATTGAAAGTAACTATAGTCAAACATCATAAACCTATATAGAACAAACAAAGTGAGATGGAAGAGCTGAGATTCAAAATTTGACCGAGCACAAACTGATTTTGACTACACTGAAAATAAAAGTACATTAGGCAAATAGCTACGAGCTCGGCTTGCTTTAGTTCATCTTCACCCATAAAGCTAGCTTATGAAAATGGAAACTTAACAACCTATCATTGGAATACAACAGTATATAACTCTATCTGATCACCATGATCTTATTCTTTCATATTCTTTCAATACAAGTTCAGTTCAGTTGAAGTCCAATTAGGGATGAAGTTTGATGAAGCAGAGTTCAGAACAAAATAACAACCATCCTTAAGTGCTAGCAACCCTTTTTCTCATTGAATCTGTATCATACTAAAGAGTTATCCAGATCATGATATGTGTTCCTCAGTTCCTTATCACAGCCATCCTTACTACTGAAATGTCAATCAATTGTGATGAAAATACATACCACCCACAGATGCCATCAATGCATTTTCTAGCCTTTTAAAAGAAAATTTAAGGCTAACCTCAGTAACAGCCCACAGATAGTCCTCAGTGTTCTGAGTCAAGCCGTGCAAAGAGTACGTGTAGTCAACAGCATTCGAAGTGATCTGTAAAAAAAAAATAAAAAAAACAATTGCAGCACAAAAGTAAAATCCATTGACGAGAGAAAAGAAGTCTGAAGACTGTTGCGATGAAATATTGGGGTGGAATCCTACAGTGAAGAGAGCGCGGGAGGAACGAACTAAACCGTTGATGAAGGGGAAATCTGTGGGAGAATTGGGGGAACTGGGGTTTCTGGTTTGGAACATGACGGCGGTGGCACCGCCAAAGCCAGCGACGGCGATCAGGTATTTCCGGGGAAATTTGAACATTTGACGCCAAGGACTCATGGCTGCACACTTGCAGACTTGTAGGTCCAATGAACTGCTGGTGGAGGCTCGGCCTCGTGGAGCTCCTTTGGGCGGGTAGAGAAAATGTCACTCAAATGGAGTGAGTAGTGAGTATATCATTTTGGATTTTGGAGTAAAGTACGGAGTAGTAGATTAAGATATTTGTGCCCTAATTTGTACATTATACATGTACACCTACATTTTGTGTCGGTATAATGCTATGGTGATAGTTCACACAGACAAAAAATGTTGGTGTAGATTTTTGCTAACGCATCAGCATTTTGTGTTAGTTTGAACCATCAAAATGTTAGTGTATATCTTTTGTATAACTTTGGGGTACAGTCTTTGGTGTATGTGTAGCATGGTTGTAAAGTACGGAGTAGTACTCTTCGTCACAAAAAAAAACATTTTTCTCTTTCTTTTTTTATTTTTCCTACAAATTTTTCATATTCCTATTAAAAATCCACTTTTACCCCTATTAATTCTAAACATACATAGCACATCGTATATTTTTACTAATAATTTACACATCACATCTTATTTTTACTCATCACATCAATAGTATTTTTGGAAAGTCAACACAAAAATATATATCTCTTAAATTTCTTAAAAATCAAAATGGGAACATCTTTTTGGGACGGATGAAGCTAAGTGTACGAGAAGTAAACTATAGTGGAATAGTATCATTTTGGAGTAAAGTAGTTCTCCACATTTATTTTTACATAAAACATAAATGTTTTTTCGTGTAAAAGAGTATTCATTTTGAAATAACGTGTTCTTTATTTTCAATTAATATAGTGCTCATTCTGAAACAATGTAATTTTTGTTTTCATACACTTGTTCGATCATTACTATTAATATACTCATTAACAAATAACGTAATATTCATTCTGAAACAACATAGTGTCTATTCTCAAATAAAGTAGTGTTCATTCTCAAGCAGCGTACAGTTCATATCCACCAAGTAGGTGAAACCTCTATCACAGCAGATCAACGTTCTTCATTCTCCATAGAAGACCCAACCCGTGTTCATCACTGATCAAATCAGGGGTTTCCTCTCAATCGACACAGCGGTCTTGATGCTACGCAGTCTCAATTATCGTCATCGACTGTGCTCTATCGCTCCTTCAATTCAAGGTCACCAGTGTTCCATCGCTTCATTGTTCCTTCGATTTCATTCTCGGTCGTCATCGTCGGTGCTCCATCACTCCTTCAGTTTTCGCTCAAATAGACGCTAGCTAGTTGTATGATTCTTCCCGTACAACCAATTGTACAATATAAATTGTGACTCAAAGGTGCAGATGTTTTGTTGTCTAATACTCCCTCCCTCTAAAAATTATTTATTTTTTATTTCAATAATAATTTATAAATAAAATCATTTTTAAAGTCAAGGGATTTTGCACGTTAATCGTAAGGGATAGTTAATTTTGGAACGAATGAAGTAATTTTGGAGTACTTAGTAAATAGTCCGTTTTTGAAATTTAATATCTAGATATTAAGAAATTCACCTTGTTAGAACCAAAACATATTCACAAATCATATGCCCGAAATATGATCTCTATGTTTTATCTCCAAAATATAAATACAATAATATAACAATTTGGCATTATATGTTAGTATTTCACAATATTTTTTATTATATGTTGATATTATTAACACTATAACTCTATTTTGGTGATAAAATGTATAGCTTCTACTTTAGTATTTTGTTTATACTCCGTATTTTATTCATAGTTTAATCTTTTTCCCTTTAATTGGTCATCTATCAACTTACACTTAATTAGTTCTTTTAAAATTAACTAAAAAATTGATTTTAGAGTAATCTTCCTCTCAAATTTCCTAATAAATTATTATCCGAAATTAAGTTCTTAAGTATATACTCCGTAGTCCGTATGTTCAATCTATGATCCACTTTTCTCAAATGGCGTCATCAATTAATTATTCAAATCACTGCTTAGTTAAATTAAAATTTTAGTTTGTCAATTGATGAAATGTTGTTTGATGATTTATAAATCAATGTATCTAGATAGCTTCCAACTACTCCCTTTATTCCAAAATATTTTTCTCATTTAACTTTTTCACGGTCTCAAATTTTGTACTTTGACCATTAATATCTACATTTATAAATGGGTAGAGTGTATTAAATGAGCTTATGAGGTGTAATAGATAAAATAAGCGGAAGTAGTTGTAATATTTTACTCCCTTCGTCCCGTTTTAAATCGTCTGTTTTGACTTTTGGGCATATTTAAAGAAAATAAAAAATAGAGTTGATTTTCTGAAATTGTCAGTACTTTTTTAGAAGGGATGACGATGAATGAGAAGATAAGATGGAGAAGAGTGACTTATTTTAGAGGTAGTTTAAGTATTTTACTCTTAAAAGTTTACGAAAACAACTAACATGCAACTTATTTTGAGACGGAGAAAAAAGGCAAACATGTAATTTAAAATGGGACAGATGTAGTAAATATTAAAAAAGGTAATGAAAAGATTTATGAGAACAAGTAAAAGGGTTAATGAGAAGATCTACGAGGAACCGAAGTAGTATAATTTTATATTTTCATTCATTATATATTTTTATATATACTTAGTCAAACTGTGAACACGCAAAGCACAACAGACAATTAAATAGAAATAGAAAGAGTACTAATGTCTTCTCTTGTTCGACACATAGAACTTCAAATATAATTTTAAATATATAAATTTTATTTTTAAATTACACATCAATTTTCATATAAAATGCATTGAAAATAATTTCTATCACACATTGTGAATTGAAAGAGCAATGCTAGGTTCACAAACAGAAAACTCATAAACTTCACAAACTTACTATTCATGATTTAAAATTTTATTTTAAAATCATTTTAGACCTTTAAATTTTTTCTATTGAAGTTCACAAACAGTAAGTTTGTGAAATTTGTGACCACTGTGTTTGAGAACCAAGCATTTCCAAAATTGAAATGGGCAATTTAAATTGGGACGGAAAAAGGGAAAGGAAGGTAAATTGAAATCGATCAAACATCATAAACGAATACAGGCATTTTAAATTAGAACGAAAATAGTACTCCGTATCAAACATATACGGAGTATATAGTCAAATGATGGACACAAGAGTCAACATGAGCATGCAGAGGAATATAATCATCTATCCCACTATTCAAACACATGTAAACATACAAGTTTTTCAAACATACAAATCAATTACAACATTTATATGTTCTTAAAAATCAAATAGCAAGTCAACATACAAATCAAACAGATACAGAATATTTGTTTGAAGAGAATAATACATATATAAGAGGCTAGCTAGCTATAGGTTTTATTAATTTATTATACATATAAAATGAAGTTCACGTTGTTGTGCATGCCCAACATGTGCAAATATTATAGTGTCACCATTCATCAATGAGAATACACGCTGCTGCTGCTGCTGCGGTTGTTTAATTTTCACATAATTATATTAGAGCGAGCTGTTAATAAGTAATTAAGCAGAGAGCTTAGTGCTTGGATGGCCTCCCTTCACGACGGTGACCGGACATGTAGCATTCTGCACCACGTAGTTGCTCACGCTTCCAAGCAACACCCTGTCGTACGTCCCACGTATGTACATATATACGCACACAATAATCATTCATTTAAACAATTCTCATCTCATTTTAAATACACAATTATGACCATATACTGATATATGTAGTGTTTGTTTATTTAGGCATTTCATGGCCCGTAGTACGACTTTCGAGTTTCGATGGCAATTCATGTTGAATTGTAGAATAATACTCGTAGAATAATAGAATTGTTTACGAATAATGAACATAGATTACAAGAGAGTATGTATAGGAAGCAATTAAGTAAATACTAATAATAGATCACAAGCTGACTAATAAGAAAATATTACTATAATTAATATTATTATTATCTAACAATTCATGGTTATGGTTTTCCAAACGATTTTAAAACAATCAAATAGGGGGTTTAATTTACATTATTACGTGGTTTATAAAATACAATTCCATGTAAAGTTTTTTCTGTACCATCTAGCTTTTATCTGTACCATCTAGCTTTTACTCTGTATTGTATGGAGCTAGTACTCCATTTAGTTTTTAATGTCTACCGGCAAAAGGAATTCATCTGGAGGGCTGACGTGTACTTATAGATTACTTATGTACTTTTGAAACTTGAAGGACCAATCGTACATAACTCATAAAGTTGAAGAATTATTCATGGATTTTTGAAAATTGAAGGACCAATCGTGCACACCTCATAAAGTTGAAGGACCAATGGTGGATTTTAGCCCCGTGCTTATAAACTGGTTAAAACTGCTTATAAGTTGTTTTTAACTTAAAAGTCAGCTCATGACATGTTTTTATGTGATTATAAGTTGACTTAGGTTGCGTTCAGTTCAACTTTTTTTTTCCAGCTTATTACTTATTCTTATTAAAATCAAATCAGATTAAAAACAAATTTAATTATAATTACAATCATATTAGATCAGACTAGGCCTTCAAAAAATAGATCATATTAGGCGAACAGAACGCAACCTCATAAGCTGCTTATAAGTCAGAAAAAATAAGTAATACATACTTATTTAAAATCAGTTTTTTCATTTCTATGTTTTGACCGGATTATTTACAAAACTACCTCTCACATTAATAAAAAATTTCAAATGACTTATCGATTATTTAAGTCATTTTCCAGCATTTCTCTTAAATGTTAGGTACTATCTTTGTTCCAAAAAACCTTTCCTGTTTTAAATTTTTTTGTCAAAGCGTGACACTTTTTTACGATAAATTGTGAAAAAAGTATACTAAATTAAAATTTAAATTCAATAATTAGTTTCATGTTAGGAAATAGTTGATATATAAAATTTTTAAAATATTTATTTATTTAATTTATGGTCAAAGAGTGTCATAGTTTGACAAAAAAAAGTCAAAACATGAAAGAGTTCTTAGGACGGAGGGAGTAGCATTTTCTAAGACTCTGTGGTCCAATATCATTACAATGACTTTCTACAAATGAGAAATCAAAAATTCAAACCTGAAAGCAATATTGACTCTTTAATTTGTTCTTCAGTGGGTTGAAAATCTTTTTAAAAGCTTGTAACTAACACTTCAACTTGTTACAGAGTAATATAAACCAATAACTACTACTCTCTCTGCCACAGAAAAATATTCCACGTTATTATTCACATTGTCAAATTATATCTTCTTTTCTTTTCCTTCATATTTATATTGATCATGCGAGAGAATAAAAAAGTCATGTCGCCTCTTGTTTAATACTCATTCCGTCTCAAAAAACTTCCAATTCTCAAAAAAATTAAATTAAAAATAGTTTTAGTCCATCATCATAAACCACAATATTAGCTTAGAGTAATTTATATACCGTAGTAATTCTCGAAATGTAGTAACCATACGATGTCAATATCATACTATACATTATGTAATCATGCTGACAAAATGTTCAGTGGATAACCCGTGTTTGGGCATTTTAATTGTTTGCTCGGTTAACGAAATGAACACAAACAAGCCTTTTTATGAGCTCGTTTGATAAAAGCATCATTTAGTATTTGTTTAACATGTTCGTTTGAGAGAAGCATCACTTAGTCATTAGTGTATGCCAAATATGTTCACAAACAAGCTCAGTTAAAGCTGGTGTAAGTGAATGTATTAGGTTTTGGTGTTAATGAGTTAATTGTAATTAATATGTTTAATGAATTGAGTTCAATTCTCTAAAATTTTTACATGGTATCGAAGCCATACTACAAGTTGAAACAAACAAAAATATTAAAATCCAACCACTCATCTAGTTCAAAAACACCCATTTCAGCATTTTCTTTTTTTATTATTAAAAGAAGAGGTAAGTCCTTGCAGTTCTTATTTCAAAACAAAACAAACAAAAAAAAAAGAAAGAGAGAGAAAAGTCATTGTGTTTACCTCTTAAGAGCTCCTAAACCTCTGCTTCCAACCACAAGAGAGTCAAGCTTGAGATGATCCACAGCATCACAAATCTTCTCCCTCGCGTCCCCCCAGTACACCTTCGCCACCACTATCACCTTCTTCTGCTTCGCCACAGTGTCCAGCATGTCGAGAACCTCTGCGTCAGGGCTCAGCCCATACTTTTTCCCCACATCAATCTCTCTGAACTCCACCAAAGGGATCAAAGCTGCAAAACTTCAACCCTCAATGAACCAAGTCGCATAAATTAAAGGCAAACAAGTTTGTTCAAATTTTACAAAGGATTGAGCCGTCCCGGCATCCTAAGTACCTAAAAGTGGACGCTTTTGGGATACAATTCAACCAAAAACTCAAACTTATAATTGCAATTGGCTGCAAATCGTGAACTCAACCAATTGAGCTCTGATACTCAACCAAAATAGAATTCAAGCTTGTGATTATAGACCCAGGAACTTAACCAAGTCCGTGACTAGAGAATCAAAAAAAAAAATCTATACTCCGACCTAAATTGGGGAAAACAGATTAAGTAATATAGGAAAGGATTGGAGATTTGGATCTTACGAGATCCAGTGTCTTCGAAGAGCTGCTTGTGGGTAGGGTCGGATTTGGAAGAGACGACGTGGATGATGGAGATCCGGTCGCCTTCGTCAATCAGGTTATCGATCGCCCATTTCAGAGCTGATTTGCTTGTTGCAGAATAATCCATGGCTACTCCGATCGAGCGTGCCTTCGCCGCCATTTCTTCCTCTTTCTGCTCGATCTTTCTATTTCTGACTTGGAATCTGAGCTAAGAGGTGGGATGATATAGAGCAGAAGAAGAGTGTCTGTGAAGGAACCAGCACTAGCTGGAGAGATGCCTTTCTTTGAATTTTACTCCGTGTAATACTCCAACGTACTGTTCCTTTTCCGTACAGTTTAAATACTCTTCCTACTAATAGTACTACTAGAAATCACCCCAAATAGGACTAAAATATATATTCCCTCCGTCCTAAAACTTTCTTTCCAGAGCACTATTCTAACTTCACGGGAATTTATATTTATTTGTGTTTTTTCATGGCCTATATGATAAAATAAAATATTCTTGTCACCACTTGTTTTGTTGAACTTTTGATTTAGTTTTTAAATATGTATGTTTTATTTTTTATTTCTATACCAATATTTAAATAAAATAGATTGAAAAAACTTGGGATTTTTCTTCGTTTTGCGCAACGGGAAGAAAGATATAGGACGGAGGGAGTACAAAAAAGTACCAAAATAGGACTTTCATGTTTTTTCTCGAAATAGGACTTTGCACTGTGGTAATGTAACTTTGCCATGTTGTAATGTGGCAGTGTACATGTGCAAATTACTATGCTTTTTTGGTAATGTATATGACCATATATGGTAATATAAGTCTTACTTCGGGAATAAAAACATAGAAGTCCTATTTTGGTATATTTTTAATTTTTAGTTCTATTTTGGTCTTTCTCCCTAGTACTACCTACTCCCTCCGTCCCAGTGTATTTGTCCAGTTTGACCTTTTCGAGTCAAACTGGAAAAACTTTGAATTTCAATTAAATAAAAATCAAATGTATTTTAACATAAAAATGACTTTATTGGATTTAAATTGTACTATTTCAATATGCTAATATGCAATATAAATTGAGAGTAATTGGAGTTCAAAGTTTGTTCAGTTTGACTCGAAAAAGTCAAACTAGACAAATACTCTGGGACGGAGGTAGTATTTCATAGATAGACGCCGCTCTGTATGCGGATAATTACTGTATTCACTGTATTCATTTATACTACCGAATACTACCTCCGTCCCGCTATATTTGTCCACTTTTGACTTTTAGAACTGTTCATCTAAGCACTTTGACTCATCAATTTTTCTCAATGTGTAAGCCTAAATATAGTCATGTGTGATCTTGTTTGATTTGTCTTAACATATAGATTATTAATATATAATTTTTATAATTTTTTAATATACAAATTACAAGATAAAATGAATTAAAAAAGTGCATTGGATGGTGTGCAAAAATGAAAGTGGACAAATACTCTGGGACAGAGGGAGTAACTTTTCAAGTAAAATAATAACTCCCTCCTTACACCATCTCCAACCTTATTTTAAAACATGATAAGTTAAAGGTTATTTAAAATAGCTTAACAATAGTACTTTAGTTGAAATTTTCAATTCATTTCCAACCATATAGTGTAAAAAATAAACTTTATTCAATTTTTAATACTCTGTATAAAATTAAGAGGCATCAGAGGGTTGTAGATCAAATAGGTCCCACCAACATTATTTTTTATGTCTTGTCTAAGAATATTTTATTCAATTTTAGTTTAGCTCATGTACATTCGATGCTATATTTGAATGATGATTTCATATTACTAGCTTGCCTTTTAAGTTTTAAAAAGTAGCTCATTCGTTGGAGCATAGAAAAAATAAATAGTAACATCTATCCATCTACTCCCTCTGTCCCTGAGTGTTTATCCACTTTCATTTTTGCACACCATCCAATGCACTTCTTTAATTTATTTTATCTTGTAATTTGTATATTAAAAAATTATAAAAATTATATATTAATAATCCATATGTTAAGACGAATCAAACAAGATCAGACATGACTATTTTTAGGCTTACACATTGAGAGAATTTGATGAGTCAAAGTGCTTAGATGAACAGTTCCAAAAGTCAAAAGTGGACAAACACTCAGAGACGGACCAAGTATAATTTAGAAGATAAAAGAGCGACTGGAGTTGCCATTATATATGGTGTGAATAAAAGAATACCTGAACTTTTTATACTCTCTTTTTGTTTGGAAAGATAAATCTATAGAATTCAACCTAAATTGGACTAAAACATAGAGAAAAGTACCAAAATAGGAATATCATGTTTTGTTCACCGAAATAGGACTTCGCATTGAGGGAATGTGACACTGTACATGTACACATTACTATATTTTTTGATAATGTACATGGTCATGTTTGGTAATGTAAATGCATCTTAAGTCATATTTCGAGAATAAAATATGAAAGTCTTATTTTGATATATTTTCAATGTTTTAGTCCTACTTTGGTCTTTCTCCCATAAATCTACTAACTCTTTTTAATGTGCAATGTTGTTTTCATTTGATTGATTGCAAAAATTTGTAACTTTAATTGAATAGGTCAAACTCATGAATATATTAAGATTGAAATAGTACACTATTTGATTGTTGAGTAATAAAACTTAAGAGCATGTTCTCTTCATTTGATCTGATTGGTTTTGATCTAATTGAAATAAGTTCTAATCAAGTTTGGTTTGGTCTCGTTATACTCATACTTAAGCTAAGGTTGTTTTTTACCTCATTTGGTCATCTGATCTAGTTCTAATAAGAATAAGTCAAAGAGAACAAGCTCTATTGGAATTTTGGTAGGCCAAGTGAACTGAGCGGAGTGTTGAGTGAGATTTGACCTCTACCCATATAAAGTCTGGATCCACTTTCTATCCAAAGGCTTAGGGGCTGTTTGACAACTTCTGAATAGGTAAGTGCTAAACAAGTAAGAGGTCTGAACCATTAAGTGCTGAACCAGTAAGATGTCTTAATCATTCAGACTCTGTATAATACTTAACCATTCAGAGGCAAATGTCTGAACCATTCAGACATCTGAACCATTAAGAGGCTGAAACAAACAGTCTGAACCATTAAGTGCTGAACGATTCAGATATCTGAACCATTAAGAGACTGAAACAAACAGCCCCTTAATCTAATGGATAGAACTTCACCTTTCTTTATATGGAAGTAGTAATTTGATTGATTTGTCGGTGTGGGAAATAACCCAACACACGACTCCAACACCCCCCTCAAGTGGTAACTAGCATGGTTTAGTTACTACTTGGATGAATGAATCGGTTTAGCATCTCAATTTCTTCATAGCTAGCCTGATGAATACTAGGATGACTCGAACCTGAACTGAACTTGGCTCTGGTACTATGTTGGAATTTTGGCATGCCGAGTGAACTGGGCAGAGTGTGGAGTGAGATTTAACCACTTACTCATATAAAGTCCGGATCCACTTTCTATCCAAAAGCTTAAGCTGATGGATAAAGCTTCACCTTTCTTTATATGGAAGTAGTAATTTGATTGATTTGCCAGTGTGGGAAATAACCCAACAAAAGACTCCAACAAACTCCTAGACCATGTTTTCTTTGTCTGAACTTGTTGAATTTTATACGATCTAGTTAGAACTTATTTAAATAGGTCTAATTTGTTAAAAATGAATGTGATTTGATATGAACAAATTTGATCATAAATTCAAGGTATCATATTATTATTATTATTATTATTATCATATATTCTCTTCGTCCCAAAAAGATAACAACATTAAGCTAAACAAATCAAATTTTTAAGTTTTTTCAATTCATTTTATTTAAAAATAAATAAAACTTAAATATCTAAAAACTATGTCAAAAGTTCTACAAAACTACAGACATTTTTAGACAGTGTCATGCCAACAAGGGTGTTTTATTATCTATTCGGAGTAGTTTATATAATACAAGTGGTGGAGCTTGTAGTGTTAATGGTGAGCTCAAACTCTACAAGGAGAAGAGTGTTAAACACCACGAACACCTCTAGAGGGGGATAGAGGTGTTGCCCAAATGACTGGTTTTTTTGCACAAAAGCGTTCTTGACAAATTCTCGCTCAAAACCAACACACCACAAATATAAGAACGTGAAGAAAAGCAATAAGGAACACACGATATATGCTGGTTCAGCCTAATGCCTACATCCAGCCACCGAACAATCATGTTCGAGCCTTCACTACATGTCAAACTTAACAGAGTTTAACAATCCGAATACAACTCGAGAATATGATTTCAGAAGCCTCTTATCTTACCTTCGAAGTCTTTATTTCACGAGACTTGGAATTTCTTCTACCTAACATTTGATTTCACAACCAAATAGGATTTCTACCAATCCACTTGACGTAATCCCAACGTGAAGATGATTACACCCTTTCTCAAAAGAAAGATACCAAAACATCGTTACAAGTACTCCATCATGAACGGATTGATGTAGATTACAAAGATCTTATAGAGTATGGGTTAATCTCTCATAGACTCAAGCAATGAGGGTGATAAACTCAAGAAAGAAAAGATTTAGCAATCAAAACAATTGCCTTGCTTGGATATGAAAAAGGGATTAAGTAGAATCTCTTTGGATATTCAAAGGATGTGTTCTTCAAAGTGTTCATGGTGTTTTGTTAATGATAACAACAATACAAGGGAGTTTATAGAAGTTATGGAGTTGATAGGGATAAAAACATTAAAAAAACTAGTCATTGGAGGTTGAAATTTCAAGTTTATTCGAATGAGTTTGCATTTATTCGAAAAGGCGAGACCTTTCTGTAGCCTGAAAGCATCTGCAATTAGTAGACTAAATTGACATTTATTCGACTAAATCAGTACATTTTCAGTCATGGGAAAAATTACAACTTATTCGAATAAACCAAAGGTTATTCAGATAGAAGAGCAACTTCTCTATACAAAGGTCGATCTAAAAAGTGTTTTAAAGGTAGGATTATCAATGAATGAACTTGAAAGATGCCACACTCGTTAACACACATTCTAAGACCTAAAAGACTACCCAACCAAGGGAAAAACATCTTCGCTCTTGATCCTTCCTTCGATGCTCAAGTCCCTTCTTCATGAACGGATATAAACTTATTGTAGCTTTGATTCTTAGCCTTGATGCACAATATGACGGTGATCTTTTGTCACTTTTTTGTCATTATCAAAACCTAAAAGACAATGGCAAATGACATTGCAATTATATATATATATATATATATATATATATATATATATATATATATATATATATATATAGGTTCTGGTGAGAATGCAATCTTAGGAGAGAAATGAGAATGAATCTGGTGCTTTAGATTGTGAGATCTAAGGGGCAGGATTGCATCAAAATCAGATGCACCAAAATGATTTAAAAATGCATCACGTTGAAATGCATCATAATCCTTTGAAAATGCACTATCTCAAAATCTGAGTGCAGGATGCAATCTGAGCCGCACAATGCATCAGATCTAACGGCTAGATTTCATTCTCATTTCTCTCCACAAGGTGCATTCTTACAGGAACCAGCCCCTATATATATTTATATATATATATATATATATATATATATATATATATATATATATTCATGATTGCACATTGTCTATCAATTTCTCTCTTTTTGATAATGACAAACCTGTTATTCGTTTTATACGTTGTGCCCACGCCTTAGGGGGGGGGTGAATAAGGCGTTTAAATTATTTTTGGAGTTTGATAAAAACGGTGTTGGAAAATGGGGAAACAATATATAAAACGCAGAAATCAAAGCGTAAATAAAATGCACACCGATTTTATACTGGTTTGGGAACTCCCTACTCTAATACCTCGAGGCTCCTCCTCAAGGATTTCCGAATCCACTAAGTTCTGGCCTCTTGGACTCCGTCAAAGCACCGCACTAGTTTGACAAACAACCCTTGCCAATAGGATTCACTCCGAGATTTCACTACGGCTTTCTCGAACCGTTTACAATGAAGATTTAACGGCTATCTTCTACCGCTCCCCCAAGGATTTCAAAGGCTATCCTTGAACCTTTACCCAAGGATTTATACGGCTATCCTTGACCGTCACAATGTGAGAATTTAATGGCTATTCTCGACCGTAAAAGGTGTGTTTGAAGAACACGAACAAAGGTTCTACACAACGGCTTGGATAAAAAAAATGAAGAACAAAACTTAGCCGGTGTAGAACTAAATTATACTCTCTCAAAAATACAATATAAACTTATGAATATGAGAGTATATAACTAAAAACACAAGCTCAAAGTGTGTGTATTAAAATCAGGATCTTAAGGCTTTTAAAATAGCCAAAATATTAAAAATAATTAATAAAAGGATGAACACACTTAAAATAAAAAGAGAGGATGTTTAGAGCTTTGTTTCTTGAAGAAATATGAAGAATTAGGCTTGTATTTATAGTGGAAAAGGTTAATTAGCCGTTGGGAGGTGATTAGGATTGATTAAAGTCAAAATCACAAATCAGAAATAGTAACCCAACGGTCACGGTAGGGGGTCCCGTCCAGACGGTAGGGGGTCCCGTGCTTACGGTACCTAGGTACCTTATGACCATTTTGACAATTTTTTCATCTTTGTCCAAATCGTTTCTAATTTTATTTAAAACCTTTTGGATGTTTGAAAATGATTATAAAAGGGTTTTAAACATATTTTGTGAGTACTTTTGAGCTTGTGAATATTGGTATATAAAATCATATCCTTACATTGGTATCTACCTATATTCTACGCTAGTTTGGTGTTTCAACTTCATTCTTGAGTACCGAATCTTAATGGATTCTTGTTGTACCTGAAATACTTAAACAAACGTGAAGCTCTTATATTGTTTGTTAACATCAAAACATGAGGCTTAGCAAACCAATGCTAACAAAACCCATTCGGAGATATGCGTCATATAAGGCTAGTTCCCCCTCAAGTATTGCACCATGAATCAAACAAAGACATACAAATCTATACTATCTTCCCCCTTAAGATATGCACAAATAAAAATTTCCCTAAACATATCTATATCTACACAATCTTCCCTCTTTTGACATTATCAAAAAGAGATGGGCAAAAAGATATATGCTAATGCAAATTGATATCAAACAAGCAAATAATATCACATTGTCAAACTATTGATAGCAACTGCTAAAAAATGTTAGAAATAAAATAAACTCAAATCAAGATAAGAAATGAAATCAAATTCCCCCTTAATTGATGTTTCACCCAATTATGTGCTTGGTGCATAAACTCAACTCGAAGTCTTCAAGCACATTCTCCTCATGGAATTTAAGAAGTAAATCTTGGTAACCTCATGGAATTTAAAGCACGTGATTTTCTACGTTTTGCGAATTGTGTAATATAGTTGGAAAAACGAACTAAAGTATTAGAAAAATATAGAAAATATACCAAAATAGGAGTTCCATATTTTTATTTTTAAAATAGGAGTTAAAGTGTGTAATCAATGTCAATCATGACCAGATAAATTATCAAAAAGTATTTTGAAATATCTATATATTGTGTCATGTTATCTTAATGTAAACTCATATTTTGGGATTAAAATACAGAGCTTGACTTTGGTATTTTATCTGTGTTTTACTTCTATCGAAGGTGATTTCTTAAATCTAGTTTGGAACAAAGAGAGTAATATTTAACATTTTTTCAATATCATTTCTACACTTTTTTAGTCACCATGAAAACAAAATGAGTTTATTTTTATAAGACGAAGGGATTGTTATTATTAAAAAACTCATTATTAATAAAATAATAATAGTAGTAATAATAGTGAATATTATTTAATCATATGTAGCGATATTATTATTATTATCATTATTATTATTTAATTTTATATAACATTATACTCTGTAATAGTAATTGTTTGTTCAATTTTCATAGTCAAAATTTGTGAACTTTGACAACTAATTAATTAAATAGAACTGATACTTGTATTAAATATTGAATTGTTTACAGAAATGATGTTATAAAATTTACCTTGTAAAATATTTTCAAATATTATTTTACGTAATTAATATACCGTATAATTTTTATTTAATTATAAATCAAAAGTTGATTCTAATTGACGCAGTGTTTAGCGTTTTCAAAGTAATCTGCACCGTTAAAATTTTATCCAAAACGCTAACGCTAATCTAATGCTATTCCCAAACGGGCCCTAAAATTAATATGTATAATTAAGTAATCAACTAAAATATTAGCATTAATTAATGAGAAGTGTGTTGCCAAACAAGACGATACTTGATTGGGAGTGACATGGAGCTCATGGCATGGAGAGTGTGCGGAGAATTCAGACAGTAAGCAATGTGGCGGTGTGGGAACAGAATGTACCGTTGCCACAACAACCACCATAGATGGGTCGAGAGAGGAGATGGAGCATATGGTTGTGGCTAAGTGCGTTGCACACATGCGTTTGGTGGATGCAGCTTTGTTTCCTCGTTGTGTCGTTTTTAGTGCTCTTTTTTTTCTTTAGTGTCTGGTTCTAGTAATTGTGATAGAAGGATTGTTCATGGGAGCCATGGTTCCAAGGAAACACTTGATTGATTGCAAGGAGTCTATGGGAGGAGAATGCTATCTTAAATTGTCAAAGTGTGGTACATGTTATTCAACAAGGTGAGGATGGTTTTATTATTATATTTTCATTTCTCTTGTTCATTGTTGTTTAACATGGTGGCCACACCTTCACTTTTTCACTTAGTCAAGTATAATGGAATTATAGCATGAGATCGCTAAAAGTGTACACCATTTGTACACCACCACCGCTCTTTTCACCATACATTCCTTATCCAATCCAAATCCCGAATTGTATGGTAGGAAAGCTGCACTGTACACTTGGCATACTCTAGCATTTTTCATTGAGTGACATCATTTTACGTGTTTGATTTGGACAAGACATGTAAGGAGAATATCTTTTCGAGGGCGGGGGTGGGTTAAGAATGGAGCATTAATGGTTCCCCTAGCACCCAAAAGTCATTAATGAGTCTGCATCCATAAAAGTGCAAGTCTCGCACAAATGGTTCCCCTAAAACATCCACATTCACTGCGATATTCCCCCTTGGAAAGACTCATAGGCCTAGAAACCAACCTCAAAACTCTCTTTCCATGATATTAAAAAGATCCACATCCATTTCTGGAAGAAAAAACAAACTAAACCAATATACTCCCTAGTAACAACAACAACAACAATCCAGTTGAATCCCACTACAGTAAGGTCTGGGGAGGGTGTGTGTACGCAGACCTTGCCCCTACTCGAAAGTAGAGAGACTGTTTCCAAGAGACCCCCGGCTCCAACTTGCGCAAAAAATATGATAGGACACAATAAAACACAGATAAAACACCAAGTACAATTGACTGAAAGTCCTGCAAGCAAAAGCAAAGGATTCCAACCAAACAAAACACACTACAAATAACCGTTGAGGCACCGGGCCCCTAACCAGCTACTCTAATCCTAGTTCTCCAAAGGTTCCTATCTAAAGTCATATCCTCAGTCAGGGTGAGAAGTCCTAAATCCTGATTAATCACCTCCTTCCAATTCTTCTTAGGTCTACCCCTTCCCCTACTTCCCTCGATGACCATATTCCTTTCGCATCTCCGTACAGGGGCGTCAGCATTCCGCCGTCTCACATGACCAAACCATCTCAACCTCGCTTCCCGCAGCTTATCTTCCACCGGCGCCATGCCTACCTGACGTCGAATAACTTCGTTCGAAATCCTATCCAACCTTGTCTTCCCACACATCCATCGTAACATCCGCATCTCCGCCGCATGCAGACGACGCACATGAGTCATCTTAACTGCCCAACACTCTGCCCCATATAACATAGCAGGTCTGACTACGAACCGGTAGAACTTACCTCTCATCTTGGGCGAAATCTTCGGATCACACAACACCCCTGAAGCCAACCGCATGCCCAACACTCTGCCCCATATACTCCCTAGTAAATGAAATGTTATTTATGTTCAATATTTGAAGTTTCTATTTTTTTAAATACCCATTCCTTACAATCAATACCTCGTCTCCCTGCTAGTAAGTGCATCATTCACTGTTGTCCGCCTGACTTTCTTCATCCCTTCACGGCTGCTCCAGTTGTAATTTTCGAAATACTTTGTTTCTTGTCCATACTTTTTCCAATCATATACCTGGTACAAACACCACACGTTGAAAGAGTAATTCTTCACCGAGACCAAGCACGACAAGAACAAGATCTAGGACCCTCTTTGGGCTTACCCTCGAAGGCAGAAAAAAAGTACTTGATTTTATGCAAAAATCAGTTTTTTTTTCTAGGGAGGCTTGAGGTTTAGCGGAGCCAAACAGTCACTTTATGCCAATTCATGGCACCGATAAGCACCTGGCACCTGCTGCATTTGGGTTCGGATCCTCCTCAGAATCATGGCATAAGTCACATCAATAATGATCCATCCACCAGTTCACACTGTGAAGTGAAACCATTCAAACTTTCAGCAAATAATTGATTATTCAACAAGAGCTGTTCTTTAAGAGAACTAGAGTATCATGTTATGGCTAGGGGCTAGGGCTGTGCATTAAAAGGTCCAGATCAGAATTAAGACTTGAATCGGACCAGAATGGACATGTCTGAAAGATTCAGGTTTGGTCTCCAGTCTTCACGAATTTGGAATTCCGGGTTCCGGTCTGGTCCCGTTTAACCCCGGAAATACCCAGTCCGGACAGGTATATCCCCCTAATACTATAAGGCTCTATAACGTTTACTCCGTTAATTTTTGTACTTTTTCAGTCTCCTCCATAATGTCTCTCTGCTATATCACAGTCTCTCTTCCATCCTCTCCCTCTCCTTTGTTGCCGTTTTCTTCTCCCGACATTCATTCCCATCAACGCCCCACGATCTTGATTTTCTTCACCGCCCCATGACCACAATGCCCTTATTTATTTTTTTCCCCTACCAATTTGCACTTCAGGGCTTCTCCTTCGGCCTCCAGGTAAAGATTTATTTTTCTTTTTTCTATCTCTTCCTTCAACTAGATTCTACCTTGTTTCATTTCAATTGCATGTGCTTAGATTGAAATAAAATCATACACCTTGTTCAATTAGTGTCAAATTGATTTTTAAGAGAATTAATTTCTTCTTTTTTTTCTTCTTGACTAACTGCTACTTTATTAATTAAAGAAGCGTACAGTTTAGAGATCCATTTTGATTTATTCCATCACACCCCAAAGCCAAAAAATGGTGAAGCGCAGACAGTTTAAACCATACACTTTCTTTCATTGGTGTTATTAATTTCACCTTTAAGTCAATTATGTTTTGCTTTTTTTATAATAGTTTGATTTCTTGCTATATTTTTTTCTCCATATCATTACTATTTAGTGTTATGTGTACCCTCTTGATTGATTTTAATGCATATTATTTTTAGCTATGCTTTATTACTCTCTTCCCGCTGCCTATTTGTTGTTGGGAATTTGTATGTACAGTTTCATTTGGTTTGATTTGAAATGTGACTCCATGGATTGAGTTTAAACTATACACATTTTAGTGGAAAGATGTTTTGATTTTTAATTATATTATTTTTGCTCCATATGATCAGTTTTCAGCATTATGTATACATTTTTGTTTGATTTGAATAACGGTAAGGGCTGAAATCAAACCATACAAGTTATTTAATTGGTGTCGATTTGATTTTTACAAGATTTATGTTTTCCTGTTTTTTTGTTACTAATTTGAGTGTTTACTGTATTATTTTGTGATCCATTCATTTTGCCAAAGCATTGAAATAAGAGCTAATCATGGAATGATGTCTTTCCTTACTAACACACTATTATTATAATAAGTTAAGAACAAACTAAAGATGCTTTATGTCTTAAAAAGATGTCTTGTTTTGAACCAATAATTTTTTACTGGTAAATTGTATTCTCAAGTTGGAGTGGAAGTATATCTTCTAACTTAGTATCAAACATTTTTCATTTTATGTGACTATTGCTATCCTATCCACTTATCCTCTTTTGCCATGAACTTAGCCTCAGAAGTTCCTTGCTGATCTACTTTTTCACAGGAAGTGTAATTCTCATTTTCTCTTTTTAGTTAATGATTTGATTTCTTATTGCATTTCTTTTTGCTCCATATAATTAGTGTTCAGTGTTATGTGTACACTTTTGTTTGATTTCATAATATTATTAGCTTTGCTTTGTTACTCTGTTCCTTTGCCAGGTTCTTATTGGGATTTTGTACAGTTTAATTTGAATTGTAACTACATGAATTATGTTTAAACTACACACATTTTAGTGACAAGGTGTTGATTTGATTTTAAATGTTATTCTTTTTTGCTACATATGATTATGCTTGTTTTATTTCAAAAACTGGTTGAGGGTGAACACTATGTTTTTTTAGCCAAGAACAAAAGTAAATCTCTAAAATTTTGTTTCATTTCAAAAGTGTGATGCACAGCTCTTATAGGCATTCACATATCACAAGTTTGTAAAGTTTCATTTGAACATAAATAGATATGACAGAACTGACAAAAGTGCCAAGGAAAAGCCACTTAATCAAGTTTGATTAACCTCTTATTTCTGTAAATATGATTTAATAAATTTAAATATCTTGTTATGGTATTGAGATATAATCAGTTACTTTTTACAAGTAATTGTTTCTTATTAAACTCATCTCTTAATATCAGAAGTGAAAATTAAATGCAACAAATGTCTCTTACAAGAGCCAAAGGTATTCGTAGAAAGTAGAAACCCACAACATGAACCAATAGTATTAACACATCTTATATACATAACAATTAGCTACACTTTGCGCTTTAATACTTTGATCTAAATAATCTAATTGAACTTCTTTATGAGCCTTATTTACATGACATTATCTTAGACTAGACATACCTCTGTTGCGTGATACACTCCCTCCGTCCCAAGATAAGGCTCTCGTTCGGTTTACGATGTTTAACTGAAGCTAATTTCAAATCAACATAAGTAAAAATTGGTATATAATTAAAAAATAAAAATTATATACTAAAATATGGTACGCTTCTCTTTACGCAATAGAAAGTTTGATCTTAAGGACAAAACATGTGTATAAACTTCTCTTTATACAATATGTTTGTTTGCACTTAAATGTAGGTGTTTATGCTTTGCCCACCTTTTTCACTTGGGCACCCACACATGTAGTGTGTGCAATGCTAATTTTAATATATTAATATATTATCTAACTATCCAATAAATTCAAGCCCAAAACTTAATAGCCCAGAGCCCACTACCTAGTCCATTAGACCATTATCCTTTTCAATTCCCTAATTCAATCTATTCCACTCATCCAGTCATACTCATACGCAGAGCCAAGTCGCATACCACATTTCTTCACGCCTTCTCCGTCAATTTTCTTCGCCGAGCCGAGTCATACTCATTTATGGCCATATGAGAAAGAGTAGCATACATACCTCGAACTTTACCGCCAGTCCTCTTCCAGAGACGATGTGCTTGTCATCATTGATTGTTGCATAATTGTTGTCAGAGCATAGACCCCGCCTGTGAGATAAAGGGCATAAATGTCATTTAGTATCATTCATTCACTTTCTACATTGGAGTTGGTAACCAAAATATGCACGCAGAGAAGAGGGCAAGGAAAGAGATTCACGTGCTCCAAGTAGAAAATCATGAATAGAAGGCTCTGCTTGGCTCTGCTTAATTGTTGCTTTGAAAATTGGGATTGCACTTGGTCGGAATGCTTTTGGTGGAGGTGTTGACGAAATAAAACTAGTGCAGCCTCAGTCACAAAAAAAGGTCCTTTTCAATGCTGTTTTGATTTGTACAGAAGTGTCCAAATCCAATAAACAGAGGATTTTTTTCATTGAACAATAACTGTTTTGTTCTACGGGTTAGGTTGTAATTGACTGCTTACTTAATTTTATGATTCTAGTGCCAATTTTAAAACTAACGTTATGCTTGAGCCTTTTACTAAGGGACAAAGCAACTTCGGTTTCAAAGCTAAGGAGACTTAGACCATTTTCTCCTCAAGTTATTCTTTTTACTTATTACGTATTCTTATTGGAATTAGATCAGATCAGAAATAGCTTTAAATATAACTACATTCAGATCAGATCAAACCAGATCAGATTAGAATTTATTCTAGTCAGATCAGAATCAATCAGATCAGGTGAAGAGAGAACATGGCCTAAAATGGTTGTGAAAAATTTAGAGACTAAATCAGCAACAACTTCTATAAACAAATGGGCTAAAATGGGGCTGCAACAAAAAAAAAAGTACGGGTCTGGTTTGTCAAAATACATAAGTAGGATGGATTAGAAACAAGAGCTACGCACTACTACAAAAGGGACTTTACACATCAGATAAATAAGGCATTTCCCATCGTGTGTATGTGTATGTGTATGTGTATGTGTATGTGTATGTGTGTGTGTGTGTGTATGTGCATGTGTATGTGTATGTGTATGTGTATGTGTCTGTGTTGTGTCTGTGTGTGTGTGTGTTTGTGTGTGTGTGTAATTTATGCTCAATATTAATAACAAAGAACACTTGTTTGATAAAAGAAAAGAGGGGAATACCCTCAATACAATTGGGTACTATTGGAGTCTCAATAACAACAAAACACACGCTAGCTAAGGAAATTCCAAAATGAACAAAAATAAGTACAAACGAAATTAAAGTGGCAGTATGGCACCCTTCTTCATAAGCTTTTATCCAGTTGATTGGCATGAAAAGAAAAGACGATGTTCATTTTATCTTCCCAAATATGTTGCAATCACAATGGTCCAAATGATCCCCCGACATGTCTCCTTGCTTCGAAGAGGGATGTACAAAGTGTAGCTGAATTTTAAGACCATATACCATTACTGAGCACCATTAAAATGATCCGGATTAGCCCCTTTATTGCAGAAACACCCTGGAAACCCTGCAAAGTTGAAGACCAAGTGCATGACCAAAGTCCTGGAGGATAGAAACTAGAAAACCAAAGGCCTAAACCCAGTCTTAATATTCACAAGCATTAGCCTAGCTACCATCACCACACTCTAAAACCATAAAGCATTCTCCTGAAAATAGAAGTGTAGACAGAATATTTAGAACAAGATCTAGAAACAAGCTGCCAAGTAGTTAAACAAAAGTCTTCCATCCAACAGCCAAGCAATAGCCAAGCCCCTTTGTTAAAATAAAAAAGAACCATATCACAATTGAAATTCCAATCCTCATAAGCTTATTAGCACCAACCTTTAAGTTTGCACCAGTTTTGTTGTTTTCAGTGAAGACACAGCAACCTCCACAACATAATCAGCATCTGGCTTTATCCCATTGCATCTCCTTCAAATTTCTACATCTATAAACCTTTACATGTTAAGCAAATAGAAGTTTGATAGTCACAAACCACAATACACCTTAATTTAGAGGCACATATAACAAAGAACATTTAAGTTAAAATTGCCATTATAAACAAGTTATGCACCTGAGATTCTACAATAGTTAGCCACAATAAAAGGTAATGGAAACCCTAGGGGTTCAAGGAAAGTAGTGTTACAAAGAACCCCACCACGGACGGACCCATGCCTAGGGAGAGAAAGTTCTAGCCATCACTCACAACCTCGCACTTTCTGTGGAAAGACTAGAGAAACAATAAATGAAGAAAAGATACCTGATTAACAATATATCCCCTCAACATGCTCAAGAAATCATCATGCCTCTGCTTTTCTAATATCTCTAGCTCATTCTTATTGTTTTCCTGCAGATTTTACCTTTTGTCCAATCCATTCTTTTAACTATATCGTGCACCCTCTGTTTGTGGAAGAATAGGAAAACATTTGAGAATAAATTTCCTGAAAGAAATGAACCAATGAGGGAGAAACGACAGAGCGGAAAACAACTGGTACTGCAAGCATTATATCAGTTGACCACCTTACACATGATTTCACTAAAAACATGCATATATATTGACCTCAAATGTTATCATGCAATTAAAAAGACAAAACTGTGTTAAGGCAAATATTGTGGGTCATAACAAGATCATTGATCACAAGTTATGAAGAATAAATAAGTTTCTCAACATAACTACAAATTTAAAAATTAAAACTAATTCTAGGTACAACTCAAATTGGAAGAATGGGAAGTGTTCGATCTGCTGTGGGCTACAATTCACTTCATACAAGAAAAGTATACGCTACAGAACCCTTACAAGTTGGCTTTTTCCAGACAATATCATCATCGACAGTTCAAGCAAAAAACATAGAGAGAAATACAAATAAGCAAATAGAATAACATATCACAACCTGAAACTTAAAAAAGAATCTAACCTGAAACTTAAAAAAGAATCTAACCTCTTTATTTCTTGTAAAAGNTCACAAGTTATGAAGAATAAATAAGTTTCTCAACATAACTACAAATTTAAAAATTAAAACTAATTCTAGGTACAACTCAAATTGGAAGAATGGGAAGTGTTCGATCTGCTGTGGGCTACAATTCACTTCATACAAGAAAAGTATACGCTACAGAACCCTTACAAGTTGGCTTTTTCCAGACAATATCATCATCGACAGTTCAAGCAAAAAACATAGAGAGAAATACAAATAAGCAAATAGAATAACATATCACAACCTGAAACTTAAAAAAGAATCTAACCTGAAACTTAAAAAAGAATCTAACCTCTTTATTTCTTGTAAAAGTGTGTTGGAAAACACGTACCATCAATCCTTGTTGATCACTTGATGGTGCTTGAAAGCTCCGGTTATAGTCGCACAACATAAAAAATAACGATGCATCCATCCTGCCTTAAAAATCCTACAGAGTATATTTTAATCTGTTGAAACATAAAAAACCCATTACCCCATAATTTAGATTATTTCCATTAGTAGCCGAGATCGATCAACAGTTTCGACATATAGCATGCTAGAACGAAAAAAAGGCTCATGTATGCTAAAATGTTAGGTCAACCTATATTACTGAAAAAGAACTTCGATGAAAGTTCAAAAATATAACAAACTAAAATTTAGCATGAGAATACCACAACATATTTAAGTTCCTCCTTGTACTTATATTCCCAATGCTTCACCCATCACAAGCCACTCCCTAGACTCCTGATGGCACAATAAGCTAGCAATTATCAAGGAGAGAATCTAACAATCATGGGAAATACGAAGTGCAGAGAAAGATACTAATGATGCAATCCAGTCCTGTTCTTTTTAGCTTTAGGATTCAAAGGATAAGGAAATGAATTAGGTAAACACACTGGGTGATACTTGATCAGGTTTTGATGATGGTCAACTATATTCTTTCCAGCAAATCAGGATCATAACTTTGCGCTCAGTTTCTCTAAATGAAAATAATTAGTTAATAAAATATGCAATAACCAGCGACATAGAAAATCTAAGCACTTAAAAATATAATAACAGAAAAAGTTGAACAAGACTGAAAATTGGGGGCACCACAATATGATGCATTCCTAGAGACTGTTTTCATTCCTTACTAAAAGTGGCCTTTTTCATCTTCCAAAACCCTGAGCATTTTGTGTATTCTAGTGAAAACGTTAGAGTCAATGTTCAGCTTGATCCTATCTTTGGTTGTTGATCTTATAGGGACAATTGGAATCAACCTTGATCCTATCTTATTTATTTTCAAATTTAAGAAAGATTCATCCTTTGTGTTGAGGGATGACCTCATAGGGAACATGCCATCCATAAATCAGTTTTTGTCTTAAACCCTGGCTACTTTCCAATAAAATAGCCAATCAAGCAAAAACCCCATACCTCTTCAACAGGAAGCACGTCTTCATTAAGGATACTGCTCTGTTGGGATGGGTTTTCTCGACTTGAAGAACTTCATTTTAGAGTCAGCATCCCTATTCTTCTTGAACTGAAGAGTTTTACAAAACTGGCTTTTTTATGGCATTTCATCAAACAACTTGCAGACATCTTCAACTTTCTCTTCGATAATAGTCCCATTGACGCTCTCTTCCAACATGAATCAATAAAATAAAAATAGTTCACATCACATACCTATAGTGAAAAAATCAAAACATATTAAAAGATTTGGGAAAGAAAACATACCTCAAGGCTCAAGGGAGTGGGAAGTTCTTGCTTCAAGGTTGCCATCATCTACCCTAGCACCATCAGAGTATTCCCATGGGTGGCGAGATCAAAATTGGAGACGGCAATTTAGGTTTTCTCTGCTTAATTTCTAATTGGGAGAAAACAGAGAACAACGAGAGAATATACTGGTGGTTTAGGTTTTCTCCGCTAAAAAGAGATAGTAATAATGCTCCAGATTACACAGCGCAATCTGAAAAATACGATGTGTGAAAGGAAAAAAAAATTACTGCGCGTATTTCACAAAAGAGAAGCACATGCTTTTTTAGGGGAGGGTTTAGACAGCATTTTTTAGATAACCGTTGTGTAATGGGCGATGTATAATGTCAATGTTGTAGTAGTGTACCTTACCACAATTACATAGGTGTACCGCGATGCGACATGATTTTGGTTTTTGGAAAAAGGGAGAATGTTCTCTGACCGAGGTGCTTTTCATTCTCATAGAGAATTCAAAACAAAACTTCAGGGCGGGAATCAGTTGAAGCTTTGCGACAGAGAATCAACCACGATCAACCAACTGAAGCAGCTACATCAGGAATGTCTTCAGAGCTGGATGTGTCGTCACGAACAAGCGAGGGGTAATCAAAATAAAAATCCTTAGCATTCCAATCATAAACATCTTTATCAAACACGGGTGCCGGTGTATTCTTAGGAACACACCCAGAATCCCACAACTCCCATAGTAACTTGGGGACTAAGCTTGAATGGCACCTTTTTCTCAAAATGTTCTTCATCAACCTAAATTAATATGGTTGAACTTAATGCCTCCATCAATCATCTCGGCAAGCAGCTTTTTTACTGTTCCAAGATCTCCATCCTTGCACAATCCAGACAACATCACACTGTAAGTGTATATATTTGGAGCCAAACCGATGTCCTTCATCTCATTAAATAAAACATACGCATCTCTAACATGACTGGCTTTGACTAGTCCGTCACTGGCAACAGTATATGAAACAACATCCAGTTGGGACTTCTCGGCCACGGCATTCCGAAATAATCTGATAGCTTGATGAAATTCACCAGCTCTAATAAGTTCATTAACGACCACAGTGTGAATATGAGCATCAATTCTGAGTTGACTCTTATGATTCCCTGATACACATGAACTGCCTGAGTAATCTTGCCTACCCTGCATAACCCACTCAATAATCCAGCAAATGTATAGTTATCGGGTAGGAAACCTCTATGCATCATGTCATTATAAAACTCAACAGCGCCACGAGGATAACCAGCTTTGCAATAGAAACTCAGAAATGAGTTACACACAACTAAATCGGGTATTATCTCTAATCCACTGATTAGTACAGGCAAGAGGGTGAACTCCTTGCATAAACACAAAGTTGACATGATTGAGGCAAGTGTATAAGAATCAGGGGTCAGTCCACGTTCACCTAAACTACAGAAAATGATAATTGCATCATCATAGCTCCCCATTTTTGAGAGACAATCTATTAG